ATACTTGATGAATGAATGAATGCATGAAGAAATGAATAAATGTTTCCTAGAGGCAGGCATTTCTTTTGTGGCCAGTGCAGTAGAATGGTAAATCCCTGGAGTCAGGCTGTGTTGGTTTGAACCTAAGCACTGCTTTTGAAAAGTTGTGTGATTCTGAAAAATTTACCTGATTTCTCTGCATTTCATTTTGCTCATTAGTAAAATGAAAATAATAGTACCTTTCTTCAGCAGCTAATTTGGCTATGGAACAAATTACCCCAAAAGCTAATGACTTGAAACAGCAGCCATTGATTTAACGCAGGGTTCTGTGGATCAGTCATTTGGAGTATGTTGGTTCTCCTGTCTCAGCTGGGCTCATTCACGCATCAGAGTTCAGCTACTGGGCAATCTGGGGAATGTTTTGTCCATGTGATGTGTCATCTTCTACCAGGCTAGCCTGGGCTTCATCACATGACATCTGGCAGGCCTCTAAGAGGGAGAGTTGAAACACACAAGGCCTCTTGAGGCTTAGACTCAGAATTGGCACAAGGTCGCTTCTGGGGCACATTCCATTGGTCAAAGCAAGTTACAAGGCCAGCTCACATTCAAGGATTGGGTAAGTCGAATCCACTCTTGATGAGAGGAGCAGCAAAGCCACATTATAATGTGGTATGTATACCAGGAAGGGTGGAGACATTGAGCTATTTTTGCAATCTGCCATACTCTTTCATAGGATTAGCAAGAGGATTAAGAACATAAAACATTTAAAGGATTTAGAACAGTGTCCACCACGCAGTAATAAATCCAATAAGTAGTAGCCATTGTTATTCTGTTGGAGGTTGCCAGGAAAAGTTTTATAGTGGAAAGAAATCTGAGTTTACTCTTGAGAGGTAAGTGGGATTTCTATTTGTAGAGAACGAAGGCCTCTCAAAAGGACACAGCCTAACAATGGGTGCTGTGGTTTAACAGTGGAGCGTGTCCAGAATAGGCTGCCCAGAGGAGCTAGAGCTAAACACTGGGAACCTAGAATGCCAGCCACAGAGTTGGGCTTGACAGCAGAGCACTATCAAACCATTGGCTTTTGCCTAACTGTTAGCCAATAGCACCATTCTTATTGTTATTTCAGATGCTGTGTTCTTTAATAAGCTTCTCAGTGCTGATGGTTCTGTGATATCTTTGACCCATCTACTCAAGATTAAAAAAATAAATAAATAAATAACTAGAAATCTGTGAGTTGTGTCTGGATTTTGCTGCTCCCTAACTTTGAAGGAGCTATGTGGTCCTTCTTTACTCAATTTTATTCCAAGTGTAAAATGGAATAATTTCTTGCTTTATCCATCCATTCCACAATAATGGTAATCTTAAAGGTCAGATCACATTGAAGTAGTGTTTACTATCCAAAAGACACAGGGGAGACCAGGCTCTGATGTTTATGCAATTTGATGATAACTCATAAATCCCAAGCAGAAAAGTCAAGAATAAGGAAAATAAAGTTTCAGTGTGGCTGCACCTATATGTCAAGCAGCAAAACATTTCTAGAACTGCTCTAAAGATAATCTTCAGCGCCTCCAGTCCAGTGAGACGATCCTGAGCAACTGGAGCCACTGATAGGCCTGGATCTCTGCCACCTTGAAGGCTGACCAGACCACTAGAAGCTAATGGCAGCTCTAGTAGACTGCTCAGTGGCTATGGTTTCAGAATCTTTCCATTGTACATGGTTTAAATGCAAATTCACTAATGAATAATTTTGATAATTCTATGGAAGTGTGAAGATGATTTGCATTAGGCGACTACACAATCATATTTAATTTTTTTAAAAAAAGACAATTCTGGCTCTTCTTATGCCATGTGAAATCCATCCTGCTGAGTGCTCCTGACTAGTCACGTCCTTCCTGCCATTTTAAAAACAATAGTGGCAGAGATGCAAGCTGCTGATAGTGCTCAGCAGGACAGATCAAACACACAGATGCAATTTCTGTATGTTGAACACTGAACTAGGATAAAATTCAAATACTTACAATCGCTTAGTAGCTAGCATCTGATTGCTGCAAATTGAATCTTTCATAACGAGATTTATTGTAAATAGTGTCATCTCATTTGTGAGTTCTGCAATAATTTCAGTCAAAGCCAGTATAAGATACTGGAGGTGTGAGATTTATAGGACATATATACTAGTTTATGCACAGATTATGAAGAGACGTTTTATTGATATTCTTTTTTAATTGCTTATAAAATAACCAGAATTGTATTTTTTTCTGAAATTTAAACATTATCAGATAACTTTAGAATGCAGAAGAAAATGTTTTTATCCACTTCAACAGACATTTTTGGAATTGCCAGCTCCCAATCCCATTCTCTTCCCCTTCAACCCTAGTTGTTAAATAAGCATTAACATTATAGGTAGCTAATATGTTTGAAATGTGGCTTTTATATTATTTGGAAGCAATAAAGAGCCTGGTAATCATAATTCGTGACCGATATATCCTATCCATAGAAAAATAGAAATTTGAAACTAAGCTATTTTGAGGCCTACGAACATACTTTCTTTCATGATAAAACAGGAAGGTGGCCATAATTTAAGTGATCAAATACTATTATTGCCTTTGGGCTTAGTTCCAAATACTTCATGAGAAGTCCATAAAAGATCAACATCAAAAGCATAAATAAAAATTGCACTTTACATGTATGAGAGCTTTATGACACTCCACATACTTAATAGCTTTAATTGCTAGTGACACAGAACTCCAAAAATGTTCTACCTTAGAGTCACATGATCTTCCTGTTCAACACCCAAACAAGGGAAATTTAAAAAAAAAATCAAAACAAATAATAGGGCCGGGAGAATTGGATAATCTGTTCTCTTTCCTCTGCCCTAAACAACAACAGCAAAATTCTTTTATATGATTTAATCATGTACTGGGGCATTTCCATTATAAACATAAATATGAGAATGTAGCATCTCAACAGGATCTGAATAAAGAAGTCTTACTCTCAGATAATCTAGAACCTTGACAAAAAAAGAGGGGGGGGGCTTTTGTGAGGGTTAAATGTTTCAGTTTGATCCTTCTTCATTTATTTAAGAGTGAATATCCCATGTGCATGTTAACATTATCATTGTAAATGGGGAATCTCTATTTCTGAACCTCAGAATTGTTAGTTTTCCTCCCTTTCCTAAGCAGGTGTCTTTCCATCTCTCACAAATCAAAGAGATGATGGGGGGTGTGAATAGATGTCTTGCAGTGGTGCCCTGATATGTATTTTAATAAGTTTACTCATCAGAGCACATATAAATTAGAATGAATCATATTCATATATTTAATAGCAAACAAAGCTCAATTTAGCTCATGTCCAGTTTTCTTCGTGTTCATCTTACTTAAGGGCATGCCTTCCTTTTTCTGCTTCTTTTTTTCTTTCCTTCTTGGACACCTCCAACCCCCACTGATGACCGAAATGCAGGGCTATAAATGTAAGGGTGCAATACATCATGAGATAAGTCTGGAGAACATGTCCTCTACCAAAATGCACATGAATCTCTAGTACAGCTAAAATTCCAGAAACATGCTGGGGTTCCTTTTGCATGGTAAGCAGGGTCAAAAATGTGAGCACTAGGTGGTTGCCCTTATATATCAGATGAGTTCCAAAGTTGAAAGGTTACATTTGTGAAATTGCAGCTGGGTTTCCTAGCACTTGATTCTACCTCCTGCAAGATAAACACTCCTAATTGAAATACAAATCCAACAATATGATAATCTTTCAGTAAAAAAAAAATGTGACTTCTGCACCCTTATCTGTTGAAGAGCTGACAGAGAAGTTCAGAGGCAGTTGTTTCACCAGACAAAATGAAAGAGAAAATATGTTTTCAAATAAGATCATAAACCTTGAATAGTGCTTTATGGGAAGCAAATGTAAAGCAAAGGGGCTGTCCTCTATTCTGTCTACCAGCTCTACTCCCACCACCCTGGTGTGTATCCTCAGCCACTCACCTTTTAGGCAAGGGCTACTATCTTCCAGGTCAGACCCAAATCCCAAATACCAAAACAGAATAAAGTGATATCTTAGCATACTTTGAGATCAGACTGTTTCTGCATTTCATAGTGCTGGGGGTGAGGGGGAGGTGTGGGGGGAAGGGAAAAGCAGCATACCAATGTAGTGAAATCTGGAAACAACAGCATATATACAGACACAAAAAAAGTTTGCATATTGCACAGAGCGCTTGAAGATCATAAATCTATGCATGAGAAAGATGTAGTGGAAATTTTGGGGGGGATTAGAGTTTATTTTTGTCATCTCTGTGAGACAGCTACTCATTCATCCAGATCACAGCTAAGAAAAAAGCTGGTCACAGAAATTAGCAGTTTCAGCTCAGCAGCGAAGTCGCCAGCCTGTGAAGGCAGAGAGAAATTGACTAATTAGCAATGCGCACTAAAACTTGACGGTTCTTTATAGAGAGAGAGAAGAGAGAGGGAGAGAGAGGGAGAGGGAGGGAGGGGGGGCTCGCTTTTTCCCCTTCTTTCTTCCAAAGATGTTTGAAATCGCAGTCATTTACGCTCGACAATTTTTACAATAGCCTTGAGCCATAATTTTGCGAGTCTCTCCAGCATCCATCCCCCTGTATGGTCTCTCTCTACTGGCCAAGCACGACCGTTTCTCTCCCCAACCGTGGATTTCCTATTACTCTCGTTACGACTCACTGAGCCCCAGGCCCAAGGATAATGATGTGTTGTTTCTTGGTAGCATAATTTGTCACACGTACATTTTTTCTTCTTCTTCTCTTGCAGAAAGCTCTGCTCCCTCTCTCTCTCTCCCTCTCTCTCTCCCTCTCTCTTTCTCTCTTTTCTCCCTCTCCTACATTTTCTTGCTGTTGCTAATTCATGGTGATCAAATGATGTACGACAAAATAAATTGTAAAGAGTGACTGCCTGGAGTTGGGAACCAGAAGGTGTTTTCCCCCTCCCAAGGAGAGAGCAAACCTTTAAAAAGGAAGGACAATTGATTTTTGGGGGGAGCTTAAGTGAGCCTTGACTTTGCAGCTGGTTGAGAGCAGGTAAGTTTCTGGCCTTGTGTCTGCCTTGTGTGTATTTTGTTCTGTCTTTTGGGTTGTTGTAGGGGGAAGGGCCGGGGAGGGAGTCTTTCAGAGGTGTTGGTGGGGGGGTAGTTGTATGGCAAACGCTCATAAAGAATAAAACTCCTATTGCAAGAAATAAGCAGATGAGGAGGAAAGGCAAGGGAGGAGAACAAGAAGGAAGGGGAATAGGAAAAGATGGGGGGGGGGAGACAACGAAGCGGAGAGAGCTAGAGAGAGGTATGACCGGGTCCTCTTAAAGGGAGAGAGACTCTAAGATGTTTCAGGCAAGCCAGAGCTTTGGGGGCGGGCGTGGGGGTGCTGCCGAGGGAGGGAGCGCGAGGGAGGGTAGGGTCCACCTGGAACGGGATGGTAAAGTGAGTCGAAAGGAGCTCAGTCCGGTATAAATAGGAAGCCGGCGATCCAGGACCGGCGCCAGGCAGGGCAGAGTGAGCCGCAGTGGAAGGGGCAGGTCCGGCGGGATCCCTCTGAGCCGGGAGGCGGCGGCGGCGGCGGCTCTCCCGGGCGGGCGGACGGGCGGGTGCGCGGGCGGGATGCGAGCAGAGGGTCCCTTTCTGCTCAGCCCTGGAAGGTGCAATTACAGGTTAAGGACCGGGCGTATCGATTTCGCCTCGCCTCCCCTACCCGGCCCTCCTCCGCCTAGATGCCGGCGGCTCAGACTTTTTACAGAAGTAGTTCCAGGGCCGAGGGAGTGGGGGTGCCCGAGTGGGGGGCCGCTGGGGGCTCTACCGAGGGGGTCAGAAAGCAGCTGCGGCTGCCGGCCACGATGCTGGGTGGGGCGCAGAG